CTCATGCTCTTTACTTAACCCCAGTGCCCACCCCTCACATAAGGTGTGCACCTGCACAGATGCCTGGCCTGCTCCCTGCATTTGTATTTCCGAGCATCTGTAATGGCAGACTAGGTAATTGGGACCTTCTCTCCTACTGAGAACAATGAGGAAGTCTGGACAAAACAAAAATAAAATCAGCCTGAAGGTATCAAAGAGTTAAAAAGATAAAGAGGAATTGCCAAGCCAAGATCTGAAAAAAGATGGGCATTCAAGGGGGCAAGCCCAACAACTGGTTCTGGAAGAGACAACTAAGAAGCTGAGAGGCTAAGCAGCACCTAGGCAGCTCAGAATACGTTGCTCACAAAAGGAGAGGGGGCCCTGCAGCCCTCCATTGGAGGCGAGGACCCTGAAGGACTGCATCTTAAATCTGGGTGAACTGGAAATAGACTAGATTTTGCAGGGCCTCAGCCCAGTTTGCAATGAGCTTAATTCTTCACATTGGATTAAGGTGATCCCAGATTGCTAGCATGCCCAGGTACCTCGCAGAAGGAAATGTAAATACTCTCTGGAGAATATAACCCCATAATATCTCACATTACTTCTACCAACATTTTTCCACATACAATTTCATCACACTTGAAAATAACCACACACACATGGAAATAAGACAACATGAATGAGATCCAACAGGAATAATGACAATAGAAACCGTTCCAGAGAACTGCAGCTACTTGAGTTATCACATACAGACTTTGTGCAAAGGCTGTAAAGGACAAGACTGAAAAATCTGGCAGAGAACCAGAAACTTTAAACAAAAAAAAAGGACAATGATGATTTGAAAAATAACCAAATAGAAATTTAGCATTGGCAGATATAATAAAGTAAAGAGCTCAGTGGAAGGGCTTAACAGCAGATTAGACATAGTTGAAGGGAGAATTAATGATTTGAGAAATAGGTTAGAAGACATCAGGATGAAACACGGAGAGACAAGAGAATGGACCTGAGCACTCCTCCCACTTTACGTAAAAATGGAGTTATAGTTTTATTTTTCTCACAACTACTCACCTCAACAACCTAAGTTTCCTCCAAGCATTTACATTTTTGTACCACTGACAGCTAGCTAGCTACCAATAGCCTTTAGTTAGGATTTAAAAGGTTAACAATGCATTTGCACCTATTAATTATGAAGCTGGTTGACAGATAAGCCAAAAGTCAACAAACAGGCTAATGTAGGTCAAAAGTATGAAGCTATGCCAGTTTGAAAAAGACAGATGCACCCCTATGTTTATCACAGCACTATTTACAATAGCCAAGAAATGGAAGCAACCTAAGTATCCCATCAGTAGATGAATGGATAAAGAAGATGTGGTACATATACACAATGGAGTATTATTATTCAGCCATAAGAAGAAAACAGATCCTACCATTTGCAACAACATGGATGGAGCTAGAGGGTATTATCCTCAGTGAAATAAGCCAGGTGGCGAAAGACAAGTACCAAATGATTTCACTCATATGTGGAGTATAAGAACAAAGCAAAACTGAAGGAACAAAACAGCAATAGAATCAAAGAACCTACAAATGGACTAACAGTTACCAAAGGGAAAGGGACTGGGGAGGATGGGTGGGAAGGGAGGGATAAGGGTGGGGTAAAAGAAAGGGGGCATGTATAATGTGGGAGGGGGCACGGGGAGGGCTGTGCAACACAGAGAAGACAAGTAGTGATTCTACAGCATCTTACTACGCTGATGGACAGTGACTGTAATGGGGTTTGTGGGGAGGACTTAGTGATGGGGGAACTCTAGTAAACATAATGTTCCTCATGTAATTGTAGATTAATGATACAAAAAAAATGTATGAAGCTATGATTGACAAAAACCACAGGAAAAAGTGAGCAGATAAATTAATAAGGATATAGATTATTTGAACATGATTACCAAACTTGACTTAGTGGACATAAACAGAATGTTGCACCAATGATTACAGAATTCAGGTTCCCCAAATATTTATGATTCCCCACCTTCCAAGTAATAGTAGGATTAAAATTCTCCACCTCATTTTATGGTAAGTATGGCGTGGCCACAAGACTTGTTTTAGCCAATGAAATGTGAGTAGAAGCAACTTCCAGATGCTAATGTATTAGCAAACACATTTCCTTTTTCCTTTCTGAAATGGCTGGAGCCCCCACAGTGTGAGTCCTTGACTGAGGGTGACATGGGGGAGAGCTCCAGAGCCAACCTGACAATGGACACTTTGATGATGAATGAGAAATAAACCTTTATTATTTTAAGCCACTGAAATTTGGGGATTATTTATACACACAGTGTAACCTAGTCTTTCCTGAATAATACAGGTAGAAAAAGAGAGGGAGTATTTTTGAGGTACAGAAGAAAGCCTGCCTTGAAGGTACGGCGTGGTGAAGTGTTGGTGGTTCACTATGGCTTAGAGACCAGGGAGGTGGGTGTGGGAACAGGGGCTGGGCAGGGAGAGCACCTCCAAGAAGAGCGGATGAAGATTGGCTAGAGGCGGGCTTAGCAAGGCTTTGGATTGTAAATAAGGAGTGGATGTTGTCCTGGAAGTTGAAGGATCTCTGAAGTTGGTAACTGGTTGAATAGTAGTAGTTCATTCAATGGAAAGATGAATAGGGGGGATTCTAACTGGTGTTAAAGGAGGTAATTAGATAGAGAGTGCTACTCAAAGAACATGTTATAGAGTTTTGTTTTGTTTTTCCTATTCCTTAGAGGAAGCCATTATTAGAATTTGGTGAGATTTTCTCCAGCAATTGCATGCATATGCAAACACATAAACCTATTTAAAAAACACAAATCAGATCAATTCTACTTAAGCTGCTCTTCTGAAACTTTTCTTCTAGTTAATAATATTTTCATGGTTATTTTCTGTGTCATCTCAAACATAATCGCTTCTTTCTTCTTCACTGGCTGCTTAGTATGCCATTGTATGGATGTAGCATCATTGTGAAACCATTCCCTGTTGACAGATATTTACATTGTTTGCACTATTAGAGACAATGTTTCCATCTTCTAATAACGTCCACACAATAATCTCTTCTTTTTACAGAGAATAAAACCAGTTTTGCCACCATTTGAACGGTGACAGTTTTAGGCTGGGTAACAGGTGCACAACTAGGCAGGCCGTCTTGGGTGATTTTGGCTCACAGGTGCCCAGCATGAATCACTAATGTCCAGAATAGTGTTTTGAACATAGCGAGCCCTCAATAAGTATTTGTTGAACAAATGGATGAAGAAATAAACCCACGTCCACTACAGATACTTGTCGGGCCTGCCTTGCCCTCGTCTACACAGGACTCCTCAGCCTCAGCACTACTGACTTTTAGGGCTGGATACTTTGTTGTGGGGGGCTGTCCTGTACAGTGTAGAATGTTCAGTGGCATCCCTGGCCTCTGCCAGTAGATGCCCCTCAAACAACCCCAGGGGCAGCAACCAAAAATGTGTCAGGAAATTCCGAGATGTCCCTGAGGAAAAAATCACTTCCGGTTGAGAACCACCGATTTATAACATGGGTTGTATTTACGGAAAGGCAAAGGCCCTTTCTAAAAACAGCAGACTCTACAAAGGTTGACCCCACTTCTCTCCAATCCTCCCATATTTGCTAGATTTCATAGGATTTCATAGTCCTTTCATATAGATTCTGACACCTAATTCTTGGTCCATATCCCCTAACACCCCCTCCATGAGATAGGTCAAGCCTCATTATTTATTGTTGACCTCCATTATACATTCTTAATCAAATACCCCTCCTTCTTACAATTATTTGAGTAATTATTAAATGAACTGTTTCACTCACCTGCCTGGAGGAGCCACATCACGCATTTTTGTTCCTGTGCCTTCTAAAGCAATTTTGAAAAATGATGTCACCTATGCCTACATTTTAAAATTGATACATTAAATGTTCATCAAGTTCATATGGCTTTGAGATAATAGCTTCTATCATATCGTAAATATTGCAATTTTAAAATTAAGCTGTGATATCATTCTTCAAGTGTACCTATTAATCTGTTATTATTTCCAATATTCCCTATAATTTTTTTTAACTAGTACACTCCCTCAAATTCAAGAGCTTGGAAGAAACAAATCGTGCAAAAACGCCTTAGTTAATCATTAAAGGAAGCTGAATTAAATTATTAAGGCAGCTTCGGGTTTGGGGACAGTGGTACCTTAGTGAGATTTTTGCAGTGAGGCATATGCTTTTCAGAAAGGGAAGGATTACTATCAACACAGATACTTTCTCAGGCAAACCAGCTGTAGGATGGTGTACCTACAGACACGGGGAACCTGGAAACTGATTCTCTAAACTAATCCTTGGTGTGTGTCCCTTGCAGGTCCAACAGACGGCCGCCCTGTGGTAATGCAGCGGGTGGCCGGCAGAGGGCAGCGCAGGAAAGCTGTTGGCGCACTCTCTCCTGCTTTCCGTCAGGGTGGCGGAGAAGGGGGCAAGCCAGCCTGGGGGCCGTGAGCCCGCGGGGCGGCCCTGCCCCGTCCGCCGTGGTGGGTAGGTTTGCACCGTGGATTGTTCATAGGAAGCCGGCTCCGAGGAGAAAGGGGGCCAGAGACTCTGCATCCTGAACCCAGATTCAGAGCCCGGGACTGCAAACAGATGAAAACCTCACCTTTCTCTCTTTCAAGAACTGAGTTTAAGAAATAAATCAAAACGTCACGTCAGGGTCTGAATCAACCGTGATGTTTTTGTTTTGCCTCTAATGAAATGAAAACAACAGTGAACACTTGATAATTTATAGCTTCAGGAGACAATCAGGGACGTGGCCGGACGCTCCCGCCCCGGGGCCGGGTGGGGGCTGGGGGCGCCGTGGCCGGCTCCCCTTCCCCGGCCCCCCGCCTCTCCCCGGCTGTCACATCAGATCAGCATCGCCGTCCTCGCGGGGCTGTCGTGAGAAAAAATGAGGCGATGCCGGGAAAGAGCTCAGCGCAGGGACGGCCTTTAGCAAGGGCCCCACGAACGCCAGCGGCGTCGCAGAGACGATGGCCCTGAACTGGCATTCGGTCAGGCCTGGGGCTCTCAACACGTTCCGTTCATGTCTGAAGGGGAAGAATCAGGGGTGAAAAATCAAACGATCTGAATGTTTTTTATTTCACAAGCCCAGGCGTTGGAAGCAGAAACGGCCGAAGAGGGTGGCCGACTCCGTGCCTTCCAGGGTGGGCGCCTTGACCTTGCTCCGCGTGCCTTCCCGGGCGCCCCCAGCCGTGTGGTTAGGGGAGTCCCTGAACCTAAGGCAGCGCGTCGGTGGCCGGCCCTATGTATGCTGACCGTACGACACGTCCACTGACCTAGGACATCAAAGAATAACTTGTTTATTACGTTTATCCTCTGTGAAACCTCCAAGGGTGGGGATGAAATAGTAGAAATTAAGTCAGTACTTTGAACTAATTGATCGGATATTAAAAGTAAGGCTCAGACCGACACTCCCCCGCCCCCCACCACCCCACTTGTGCCTTACGCGGGGAAAGGCAGGAGGCGCGAGCTCCCAGAGCCACGGGGGCGGCTCGGGTAAGATAACGGTCCTTTCTCCTGGCAGCGGTCCGGCTCCCAAATAGCTTTTGTGTCCAGTCCAAAAACAAGATCACATGAGAGGGGAGAAATAAATAGGCCTGTCCTTGTCCGTGGGCTTCCTGCGGGCCCACCGGCACCGGCCGCGCGGGGCAGGGCGCTCCCCGGAAAACCCACCTGTCCCGGGAGGTGGGGGCGCGGTCTGCGCCCGGCGCCCTCCGAGCACCCCCCTCGAGCTTCATTCGCACCGCAGAGGATCCGGAGGACGGGCGGAACCAGGACATCGCCCCCGTTCGGTGAGGGACGCGCCCCCCTGATGGGGTGCGGGCGCCCCCTCCCTCCCGCTAGATCCGCGTGCGCGCCGGGGGCCCCGGGCCGGGGCCGGGTGAGCGCGCCCGTCCCTCTTGCTCGAATCCTGCTCGCGCTCAGCCTGCCCGCGCCGCCTCCCCTGCTCCTTCCTCTTTCCTCCCGGATCGGGGTCCGTGGCAGGCCTGGGCCTCCGTGATGGGTGCCGGCTTAGAGCATTCCTGCACCCTCTTCTCTCATTCCGAGGCCAGTTTGCCCCCGAAAGGCCTCGGCAGGTCTAGTTCTGGGCGGGGAAGCAGGAAGCGATTCCTACCAAGCAAATTATCTTTGCTGACATCCAAGATGTTTCCTAGGAAATCATTAGACGAATCTCATTACAGTAGAGGTTATGCTTAGCTTTAAAAAGCCTTGCGTGAAATAGGTTATAAATAAAAGGATGCCGGCGGAAAAAGAGGATGCCAAAAGAGGAAAAACAAAAACGGCCTGTGCGGAGCTTCCTTTCCCCTCGCTCTCTCCCCCTCGCTTCCTGGCTCCCTAGAGCCTTGCAAAATGCACTGGGCAGGTCCAAGGACTCCTTTCTTTGGGGATAACAAGAGGGATGAAATCAAGGGCTGGGGAGAATGGCTCTGTAGGCAGAGTCAAGGGACAAGGACGGGAAGTTGTGCGGCTTGGTGGCCCCTCCTAACGCCTCTGCGTGACATGTACCTGTGCCTGTCTAGGGATGCGTGTAGATGTCACTCACAGACCATTATTCCCTGTCACCTACCACCCCTCCACTATGCACTGCAAGTCTCTATGCTGAGAAAAGCCAACAAAATGTGAGTGGGAACCAGATAACTACTCAAACAAATCGGGTTTCTTTTAATAACAATGGACTGAAGCCCAGCTCGAAGAGACCTAGACAAAAAAAGGAAATGTGTTTGTTCACGTGACTAAAAAGGGCCAGGGCTTCGGTGTGGTGCGCTCCAGGCGCCCAGATGATGGCTTCCTGACTCTCTCTCCGTTTCCCGGCTTAGCATCCCTGTGTCTCTATTCCAGGGAGACGCACTGCTGTGGTGGCCAGATTGCGGCCGGCCGCTCGAGGCTGACATCCTACCGGCACAGCCGCCCTGCAAGAGTAAGTGCTTCCCTTTCGCAGCAGTTCTCGCTAGTCTCAGGCTCACGTCTCCCTGAAACAGGGTGGGTACTGTGTCCATCCCTGCCATGGGGGTGTAGGCATCTCCGTCCGCAACCACATGGGCTGAAATCTATGAAGGGCTGGGGTCCCAAAGACAACGAAGGCGCAGGTGCTGGGAGCGGGGCTGGACAGAGAACAGCCGAGGTCAAGGGTAGCCAGTCTGTGTTGCTTTTTATAATCGTCTGGATTAAGAGTCAAAGCTCCTCCAACCTAACTCCTCCCCCTACCCCCTCTTAGGGTCCACAAAAATTAGCGACAGGAAGTCTCCTAGAGAGGGTATTAGTAGAGCAGGTGACTAGAGACCCCGTGGCACGTCATTCCTGGCAGCCCCTGGTGGTGGGAGAGACACCAGGAGGCTCGTCTCTGGCTTAGTTCCCCGCCCACCCACGGTGCACATACCCTCCAGGGCCCCCAGCCTGCCGGTGCTCCCGGGGGTCGCCCCTTCCCCCTCCTCGCCCTTGGCCCCTCCGTCTTGGTCTCCGTCTGCCCTGCTGATGTGAACCCAGCCTGCCTTTCAAGGCCCAGCAGGGATGCCGCCTCTCCTTGTAGGCCCTCTCTGGCCCACCCAATCTTTTCTGCTTTGTCCCTCTCTGAACCTGGGTGGCACTGATAGTCGATATTACAGTTTACTGTATTTTAGTTTTTCCTCTCAACTTGAATTTTACATTCCTGTGGGAAAATTAAATTTCATCCCCTGCCCCCATTGTGGTGCCTAACACATAATGGGGTGCCCGATTAAGGACTTACAACTAATTGACCAATAGAAAGTCAGCCTCCCTAATTAACTTTGAAGAGAACGGCTAGATTCCTTGAGGCTCTTAATTCTGATTTCAAAATATAATAACTTAATTCTAATTTCAAAATATATAGCCAACAATGATTGAGCTCTAAATGTAGGCTGGAGCCCTCCAGGCACCCTCTCGGGTATCCTCACAAAGACCCTTCAAGGCAAATGACTGCTATTATCCCCATGTAACAGATGGGGAGACTGAGCCTCAGATCACACAGCCAGTGAGTGGTGACACGGGCACCCCAGGCATGTCTGCCATCTACTTTCCGATCAAATCCATCATTTATATGCTTATCAGTGGGGCTTCCTGCTGCCTGATTTTAGACAGCAAGGGGCTCTGGTGACCGGTCAGAGAGCATGAAGAAGCCAAGATATTCTGGACTCGTCCTGCCACTGGGGCCCCCAGTGCCTCTACACGGGTCCTTATTAGATTGTGCCCAGCGGTGGAGGCACGATCTGCCTGCCCCAGAGCCCAGAAGAGGCACAGGGGATTCACAAAAGAAGGTGCCCCTGCGTCTCTGTAGAGAGCGAGGTGCTTTGTGATTAGTGGGGTGCAGTGGTCTTTGGAGAAACGTTAGCTGGACGGTAGTAGGCTTTAGAATTTAAGCTTGCTCTGCCCATCACCAGGCATGGTCCTGACCTTCCTCCTACCCCCTGACCCCAGAGATGAGGCAGGGAACTTCCCTCAGAGGGTCACTTGCAGGATGTGGAAAGCAACCAAATTCTGACCTCAAAGGAAACCGATCCTGAGAAAATGGTGGGTATTTTTTACACTATCTGTGCCTCTGTGTCCACCTACTGGCCTCCGGGCTGATGTGGCACCCAGGGTGCTGGTGACGCCCTTGGTCTGAGGGTATTATGTTTCTTTGATGCACACTAACCTATTCATTTGGGTTAATGTCTTCTCAGGAGCAGGTCCTTTTGATTTATGCCGTGAATCCTCCCAATATCCCATGAGGGGGTTGGGGAGCAGGTATCCTCACAGCTTGAATCATGCCCCAGATTATGTAGAAGCGGAAAAGGGCCCAGAATGGGAACAGAAGAACTCTGAGGTCTTTAGCATCCAAGCCTGATTGCTTCTCCATGAGGTTATGATAGAAAAAAATTAAAGCCAAAAGAATTATGTAGGGTAAATAAAATTCTCTGGGTAAATGTTTAAGAGTAAAACCACTGCAGGACCCAAGAGAAATGAAAATATGTGTTCACACAAAAACTATATGCAATGCAGATGTTCACAGCAACATTATTCATAATGGCCAAACAGAAGAAACAAGCCAAGTGCCCTTTAACTGATGAATGGAAAAATAAAGAGTAGTATATCCATACAGTGAAATATTATTTAGCCACAAAAAGGAATGAAGTTCTAATACATGCATACTACAATATGGATAAACCTCAGAGACACTAAGCTTTGTAAGAGAAAGATGCCCGTACGATATGCTACCATTTATATGAAATGGCCAGATGAGGCAAATGAATGGAGACAGAAAGTAGATATGTGGTTGCCCAGGACTGGCAGGAATGGGGAATGGGGAGTCATTGCTAATGTGTATGGGGGGCTTTTTGGGGATGACAAAAATGTTCTAAAATTTGATAGTGGTCATGGTTGCTTGATCATGTGAACATACTAAAATCACTTAACCGTATACTTTAAATGGGTGAACTGTAGGGTATGTGAATTATGTCTCAATTAAGTTGTTTAAAAACCTAAAGCATGGCCAATGTAATAATGAACCTAGTGATGGGGCTTCACTGAACGATGTGGCCTCACCCTGTTTTCCCTGATAAGCTCAGGTCTGGTTCCACAGAGCTTGGCCATGGGCCACCCAGACAGTCCAAGCAGAAAGAACATTGATGGAAATGATAGATCCCTAGATTTCTCCCCACAGTCTGAGCTAAGAGATTCTCCCCAGCCCTCCCCTGTGTAGATCATGTTAAATTTATGGAATCAATCTCACTATTCTATTTTCAACTCTGGGCTTCAGATCATGCTTCCAAAAGCATTCCCCTAGGATAATACATAGGATGAATTTATGTTTTCTCTAAGGTTTGTCTTTTTACATTTAAATTTCTGATACATCAGAAATTTAAATGATAAACTGGAGATCTAGGTTGTTTGGTTTTTCCAAGTAAATAGAAAATTATTAAATCAGGAGTTTTACATTTGGAGTTGAAATGGACTTGGGGTATTACTTCCTGAAATCAAATGTAAAAAAAAAAAACATGTGAGTGAGTTGTGTGTGTGTACACATGTTTTTCTGGGGAACAGGTTTACAGATGTTGTCGGATTCTCAAGGGGTTTTGTGACTCACAGAAAGACCACTGGGCTCTCTGCAACTGATAACCTGAGGTTGACAAGTCGTGCACATTCCATGCACCAAGGCCTAATCTGAGCCAACAACATAGTTATTAAGCAAGTACATGGGAGACCTGAGCAATCTGTCCTGGGGACAGTTCTCTGACCCATCATGTGAGGCTGTACTGCCTTTGGGTTTGATGTTTCACTGAGGCAGAGAACTAGAAGTGATTCTCACTGACTGTCCTTGGGTTTATAAAACATTAGGTTTTTCATCATCTGCTGGCAAATCAATGGAGCTAATAAACCATTTTATCTGACAAACTTCGGGGCCCGCCCATCACAGAATTTGAGGAGGTTTACAGTCCAATAAAATAAATTAGTAATAAAGTGGAAATAAAACTGCCATTACAAAGAAGGTGGCAAATGCACGTGTCCAGACTCTTACATTCATGTAATAAATGTATGTATGTAACACCCAGTATGTGCCAGGCATTGTCTAGACTGGCAGCTTTCAAAGTGTGGTTCCTAGACCAGTAGCATCAGCATTGCCTGGGGCTTGTTAGACATGCAGATTCTCAGGCCTACCCCACATCTACTGAATTAGAAGCTCTGGAGTGGGGACCCAGCAATCTGTGGTTCAAAACATGTTCAAGTGATTCTGATATACACTCAAGTTTGAGAAATCCTGGTGGAAGTAGGGGGAATATAATGGTGAAAAGACAGATAAAATCCCCTGCTCTCCTCACAGAGTTTACATTCCAGTGTGGGTGCAATAGGGGAGACAGAAAACATGTAAATAAATAACTGAACGTGATAGTTTTCAGATAACAGTAAGATCTGTGAAGGAAAAAAAAGCGAGGGGCTGTCAAAGACTGTGATGAGGGGCTGATTTAGAGGAGCTGGCCTGAAATGAGGTCAGAGTGATAAGCAAGAGCCATGCAAAGAGAGGAGGGGCAGAAAATAATTGCTTATACTTTAGGGCGCAGGCAACAGGAAGTGCAAAGGCCCAGAGGCAGGACCCTGCTTGGCCCATATGAGGAGCAAAGTGCTGGAACATGCTGAGCAAGGAGTGTGCAGGGGATGGACGTGGAGACGCGGGTGGCCGCAGCAAGCTTATGTTGGGTTATTGGTACAAGGGAAAGGCACTGGACAGTTCTGAACAAACAAGGACATGATCCGATTTACGTTTTAGCAGGATCTCTCTGGAGTGAACCATAGTGGATAAAGGCAAAAGCAGGGAACTCAGTGAGGAGGATGTGGCAATGGTCCAGACAAGGAATGCTGTTGTTTGGAGAGACTAGAGCAACATGAAAGATCTATTATTAAGTGAAAAACAACCATTCAAGACATTGCGCATAGTAAACCAGTTCTAAGCACACACCCATTCAGGTGGACAGACATGTTTTTTTTACCTGAAAGGAGCCAGAAAAAAAGTTAATAGTGGTGATCTTTGGGGACAAGGGGGTTAGTAAGGCTATGTTATACCTTTCTGTACATGATACATTTTTATCATATGCATGAAGCCACTACTTTTATTTAAAGATAAAATATTTTAAAATAAAAATTAAAAAACTGAGATTGAGGAAAAGAAAACAGAATAGGCCACGGTGGTCAACATCGGGAAGAGGGAGCCACCCCTTGTGGGTTTGACCTTTCCAAGCATCCTCCCCTGAAACTGCTGGTGAGCCAGGCTGACAAACTGGGATGAGCTCACATTCTAGGATTACAGGGGGGTCAGGTGCCCCCCACTTGAGAACCACCAGGCCCCCTTTCTGTCCTGCAGCTCTGGTGATGCTTGTGGCTACCACAGCTCCCTGGGCAATGAATACAATTTCCTGTGGACGTCTGCTGCATTTCCCTGTGCCCTGTTTGTCCAATCTTTCTCCTCCGTCATCTTGGCAGCTGGTTCAGCATGAGGCCAGCATGCCCTTCCTTCACTTGCATGGCTGGGCATAAACAGAAGGAAATACTTGGCTGGGAGACAGAGTAGCAGGCAGCTACTGATTTCTCCTGTCAGCTGATTAGGGTTTGTTGCGTTTGAACAAGGTCAAATGAAATTAGAAAGAAAATGCGGTGTGTCTGCTGTGCGTTTCACATAATTTTATCATCTATGTAAACAGCATGAATGCAGGGGAAATTTTAAAGTAAATATTGAATGTCAGCCTTAGGATTCAAGGACAAGAAACCAGGGCTGATGAGTTGTGCCTAGAAAGAGAGAGAAAATGTATTTACTGGGGGCATTTTGAATCCTGCTGAGTCTGTCACGCTCTGGTTTTTCTTTCAAGTTGATGCAGTTAAAAAGTGATAGCTTTATGTCTGATTTTCAGAGGCATCAAGTGCAGAATAAATAAAAAACACAGAAATGCCATATTCTACCTTTATCACCCTTCTAAACATCTTATAAGAGGCTTAAAGCCATTTTCTATTATTGCAACCCCTGAAGTGCTTTGGGAGTGAATCAATCTCTTAAGATGTGGAAGGACGATTCTCACCTCCAGCATCAGCCACAACATTTTAGATGTGCATGATGCTGGCCAAGGCCACACCTATGTGGATAAGCCTACCTGGTTTCTACTATGATTTTTATTGGACCTCCATTGTCATCCTTTCTCAGACCCCACCTGTGCAGTGCTAGCAGGCTTGCATAGAAGGTTTTAATTACTGCAGACATGGCTTTAAAAGTGGTCTAAGAACTTTGAGGGGCGATACGGGTTTTGTTTCATACTCTGTATAGGATGTAGCATGTTGTGGATGCTCACTAAGCAGCTTCAACAGCTGTTATTCCCATGGCTACTTCCTGGCCCGGAGCTGGAGGGCTATTCTGATGCCAGACATCTCGACTAGGTAACCTGCAAGTCCCTTTCCTGCTAAATATCAGTTTTGTCAAAAAGCATTAAGGTTATGTCTCATGCCTCAAAATATCTGAATATATATTACTTAAAAGATAACTCTAGATACTTGACATGGGAAGTTGAAATAAATATGGAACTTGAGGGATGTTAACTTGAAATTTTAAAAAAATTTAATATTGAGGGGAATTACATTACATTAAATAATTTAAGAACCTAAGGATTCCTTCATTCCCCACCATCTGGCCAAGAGTTATTTGTACAGGCAGCGTTCCCCCTCCCTTACCCGGTCCTGGCTACTGGCATAAAGATGACACCCACAGTCCATTGAAGAAATCCCCACAGCACGAAGCTGGACTCACCTGAGGATTCATTCGCTTAGTTCAGCAAGGACAGGCTTGACCACTAGTGAGGAATGATAGAAATACTCTCTCTACAGCCCCTCCCAGCCCTGACCTGGATGGCCATTGCCTTGAGTGGTTTTGCAAAATGCCCTTTGCAAGGCTTGGCTCTGGGAATGACACAGACACAGACACAGACACAGACACAGACACAGACACAGACACACACAGACACACACACAGACACACAGACACACAGACACACACACACCTACACCCTCGGCAGGATGCCAGTGACGGAACAGAAAAGGACTCCCTTTCATCCAGCAGCCTTCTGATTCCAAAGCAGCTACTCTGAGCCCCGACCTGCTGTTTCCCTGGTGACTGAGGGCTCAAAATAAACAGGATTCTGCTCAGACGGGCCAGTAGTCCATTTAGCTCAGCCACTTGCCCCAAGACAAACCACGTTAAAATAACACCCAGGATAGCTGCTGCTGTCGCCGTTTCTGCTTCCCTTCCCCGCTGGCCAATAGCTCTGGGTTCCTGGGCCTGCTGCTGTCTGCCCAGAGCTGGGGGCACGCAGAGCTCTGCGTATGTCCCCGTGGGTGGGGTTGGTATGGGCTGTTGTCTAAGGGCAGGTCCCCCCTGCTGATAAATGAGGCCAGAGGGAGACCTAGAGGCGGACATTCTCAGCCCCCCAGCCTGAATCGCTGCTTCCCACACCGCCCCGCGGGACTGGTAGCCGGCTCTGTAGCACGGTGTCTGGAGGCGGGCCAGCAACCTGATGTGCATGCCATGGCCCGTCCCCTCTCCCCACACAGACTGCAGTAACCGAGAGGTTCAGAGAGCTGGCGCGGGGCTGCTCAGGAGGCAGCCGCAGCACAGTGACAGCGACGGAGCGGACAACAGCAAGTGGATTTCCTTTCCCCTGGGACAGAGAGGCGCGGCCCTCGGCCTACCAGCTCTTCAGGTAAGAATCAGAGTCTGTGTTCCAGGGAAACGAGAGCAGGTTATAGCCAGAGCTGAGGTTGCGTATGTGCATGGGTGTGTGCGTCTGTGTGTGTATGTGTCCCTGAGTACAAGGCTCAGGCAGCTTGGAAGGGAAAGAAAATCAGCTGATGTTTTAAGCAGCTACCACTGAACTGGCTGTCCCGCAGGGGAGCACCCAGGAGCTCACCCCTGGCTGTGTTTAAATCACGGTGCAGACTGCCCAGGGGGAAGGGCTTGCTGAAGGCCCGGGCATGTAAAAATAGCACCTAGAACTGAGAGACTGTAAAAATAATCATGCATCATGCTGCCCATTATCTGCATTCCCCCACCGCCAGGCCGGTGGGGACTGAAGGGGTCAAAACGTTGTCATTTACTCGTCCTGGACTTGGCCCTTTCTGCTCAGCAGAGGCCGAGGGCTGCGGCCTCAGTGTCTGGCTCGCATCAGCTTGCTGTGTCACTGTCACCCTCCTGGGGGCCTGGAGATCCAGCTACCTCAGGAAGCCTGTTCGCTGGCTGGGCACCTTAGATTTTTGTCACTCTCTTAATATAAAAAGCACCCTGAAATATGGGGTTACCCGAGTATATTCTGATAGGGTGGTGTTGCGATGGCCCCACTGGTCACCTGGATTCCTTCTTACCTTATCTCTGATTTTTGAAAACCACATCCTCATCTCAGAATGCCTCCACAGATAAGCGCTGGCGGAGAAGGAGCGGGAATGACTAGCCACTGGGCACATTCTCGGGCACTTACGCTAGCCACACCCATGTTACTGGTCCACGCCCAAAGTATGCAAGGCTTCTGGAGAAGAGCGCTTGAAAAATTCAGACCTCCAGGTCTGGAGTGGGAATTTCTGGCATTTAATCATGGACGCATTTTTCAGAGAACCAGAAAAGACCCACCTTACCTGGCTGTTCGGGTCCAAGAACCCCTTCTGTGCCTTGGCATAAAGCAAACACTCTGGGCTTTCTTTGGCTGTTTAAATCCACCTTCACTTTTCTGCCCTCCTTTCTGCATTGGTCTCTGGCACTGCCCCTTTCCTTTACTGTAGGGATATGATTGTTGATGATTTAGCTCTGCCAACACCAGTGAGAGGATGAGAGAATCGCGGCAGAGGGTGAGCCGGGCTCCGTGTGAGCATAAGCCACCCTGCCGGTGCAAAGGGTTGAAAAGCCACCCCTGGCTTTGCAAAGTGGTGTCTAGCAAAGGGCTGGCCAGCTGTTTACTAGGACTTTCTGGACTTTCTGCATGAAAGAGTGTGAATTTTGGTGGAGACTGTGATTCACAGTCACAAATTTCCTTTTCCTTTGTTTTTTTTTTGTGTTGGTCATTGAGAGCTTCCAAGGAAGTCCCCCTTTTGAGAGCTCTATCTGAAGGCAAGTTCACCAGCTGGTGGCCACTGGAGGCTTTCTTCTGTTGACCCTGCCTTTTTTAGTATGAGTAAATGGAATTGCAAATGAAGTACTCCATCAAAAACAAAGTTAACACACAAAAAATTAAGGGACAAAACACTGAAATTCTCATAAACTCTCTCCCAAATCTGATGTGCCTATATGCATATATGGCTTGCCTGTTTCAAAAAAGGATTTAAGGAATAAGTATCCAGCTGGTTAGTTTGACTTCAAAGGCCAGTAACAGCAGCAGGAATGATGATAATATTTGCAGTGGCAATAGTAGGCAGACACTCATACGCTGCCTCTGTGCCTACTGAGCAAAGTGACATTCAATCCCAGAACAGAGAGTACGCTTGCTCACCTTGCGGGGGGTCTCTGAGGTCTGTTTGTTGATAGAGTTGATCTCCTAACATCTATGCTCCACGGTCTGAAAGATGATTTCCAAATATTGCTCTTGTTTCTGAGTTTGTAAGGATGTGGTTCCACAGATGATGCAACGTGCCCAAGATACCATACACCTGCTTTTGAGGGACCCCAAATAAACTATTAAGGATTGTAGATGGCCCCACCATGCTAGCTTCCAGGAGTTAGCGACCATGTCGACTGGAAGACACACCCCTTCCACCTCAGCAAATAGGCGTTGGTTGCTGAATACAATACTCTTTGATTCTGGCTACAGGGAAAATAACCTGTAGTCATTTGTGCCACAAACCTACCTGTTTTAGGTAAATACAACACCTATTCCTGACAAATAAATTATATGAGAATGAGTATTTTTCCTTAAGAAAGGACTTGCTAGTCAATAAATGTTCACCAAGTACCGACAAGGTATCCCATCTCAAGATGTAACTGGATTCGACCCACTCGACCATGGGGAAAAGAAGGAACTGCCTGGGTGGGCAGGTTCCAGAGGCCGGGCCTGGGCTGACAGGATGTCCCACTCAGGTGGGAGGGACAGGACTTCAAGGCATGAACAAGGACATGCGTGGGGCCAGTGGCCTATAGGGAGAGAGAAGGAGGGGAGAGCAATTATTTTGGCTCCTGAAGTTCCCTGCTCAAGAGATGCAGCATAACATAGTGGCCAAGTGCAAAGACTCTGCACAGCCAGGCCTCCCGGGGTTCAGATTCAGACTCTGCCACTTATTGGTCTTGTGTCCTGGCACCTCAGTTTCCTCATCTCTAAAATGGAGTAGTAACAACTTTGTTGTTGAAAGGATCAAATGAGTAACACTCCTAGCACAGTGCCTGGCTTATAACACCTCATTATTATTATTGAAAGGTAAGTCCTAAAAGGCTGCCCACAAGTCCATTTGTTCCAAAGTCCAAAGCGACACTTGGTGAGTGGCCACTAGTGCCACCTTTGGGGCAGCCCAGAGGTGCTTTCGCTTTGGTGTGGAGCTTCCCTCGGGTCTCTGAGTGTTCAGAAAGAGGAGAGCTTCTGGGCTGCTCGCCAGGGTGCCTCATGCCCTTAGCGTGGGCCAGGCATTCTGCTTGGCTTCACCTGTATGAGTGAATCAATCTCTGCTAACCACTGAGAAGTCGGGCCGTTTGAAATGCAGGAGTTGGGGCTCAGTGGGCTGGGCCACTTGCCTAAGGTCACACAGTTACCAAGTGGCAGGGCCAAGCTTCACTTCCAGGCTGGGCTCCTAATGTGCGTAAGGATCACAGGGGAGCTTGTTGAAAATCAGGTTCCAGGTCCTACCACAGAAGTCCTGACTTAGCCAGGTTCCTGAGGGCCCAGGACTCCGCATCTCCTCAGTGGGGCCCAGGTGACTCCACTGCCTTGGGCCCCGGGGCCCCGTCTCCCAGTCGCTCTGGTACCCTTCTCTTCATTACCGTTGGTGAGGACACAGTCGCGCAGCCTGAATCAGGGGCGGTTAGCCTCTTTTTTCTCATCACCTTCTTCCTGAACGACCACTTTCCCTGAACTGGGCCTCCGCTTGTACCACAAACTACTGCACACCCAGCGGCTATGTGCCGGGCACAGCGGCGAGCCCCCACCTGGTGTCTCACTCAGTCCTCACCACCTCCTGACTTAGGTGCTGCTATTACCCACATCTTACAAGTGAGGGAGAAGCCCCGGGCCGGCAAGTGGCTGAGTGGCACCCAACCTCAGGACTAGCAGGTTGTCCGCGTGCAGACGTGCAACCTCCAGGCTCGTCCATGACAGCGGCTTCAGCTCATCGTCAGGCCACGCTTCCTTCCCACGTTGGTGTCTCTCGGGTTCACATTCCTCTCTCCTGCACCCTCACTCCCGGGCTCCCATTTAGTTTTTTCAGAAGACGATCTGTCCCTGTGGGTCCCCACTTTCGTTTCATTCATTAAGTCAGAGAGGTGGGGGGCAATGACAGGCAGAAGGCAGGTGTTATGCGTGGCACTGCATCCCCCCAAGTCCACTAGTTGAAATTCTGACCCCCAGTGTCTCAGAATATGACCTTATTTGGAGATAGTGCCGGTACAGAATTAATAACTGAGGCCAGCAGGGCGGGCCCTGATCAAGTGGGACTGGCGTCCTTATAAAAAGGGGAAACTGGGACACAGTGACAATGCAGATGGAAGATGACGTGAAGAGACCCAGGGAGAAGACAGCCATCTATAAGGCGACCAGGGAGGCCTGGAACCCTCCTTCGCTCACAGCCTCAGAAGGACCCAGCCCGCTGATACCTTAATTTTGGACTTCTCCCTCCAGGGCTGTGGGATAATACACAGCTGCATCGCTTTGAGGGAGTGAAGTGCCAGGACAGTTCCTGTAAAGTGTTCTAGCCACGGTGGCCCCTCAGCACCCCACAGGGAAGGATCACAGAGGGATCCTGAGACTGGTCAGCAGGCGTGGCAGCTCGGCCTGGGGTCCAACAGCAGGCCCCAGTTTAGCATCAGTCAAAGGACACAAAGAACCCTTGTGGCCACAGCCTCTCCTCTGCCTCCTGGGCTTTGCCTGGAGCTCCGGAGAGGGCAGGCTCTCTGGAGGCTCACTGGTCAGCGGGCTACGGAGGATGGCATAGATTTGAGCTGTCAAGGGGAAGAGATGAGGGTAGGCAGCCCGGACGGCCCCCCTGAGGATGCTGGAGTGGAAGAGGGCAGAGACCGGTCCGAAAAGGGGAGGGCCACGGGCCTGAAGCCAAGTCTTGCCTCATCCTGGATTCCATGCAGGCAGCAGCAGGCTGGGCCTGCGGCCCTGGGGAATTCCGGCGTGGCATCGGTGGCCCTCCCAGGGGCCTGAATGTCCCGGCTACTGTCACTGGGTCACTGACATCTCACCAGTGCCCACTGTTGCTGGCACAGTCACACGAGAATGAGAAATGCCATGCCTTTAGCAAAAGCCTCATCTGCTACAAAAGGAATTCTCTTCCTCAGTCTTTGAGCAGAGGGACTGACTGGATTTGCCTGAGCCAGGATGAGTTCTTGGGGCAAGTGGAGCACACTCTGGAGAAGAGGGGGTTTTCAGGAAGGTGAGGAAGCAGCCAGGACCTCCTGGGCAGCAAGATCTCTGACTCCCACCCCTCCTGCATCTCCCACCTGCTCCAGCCCCACTGGCCTCTCTCTGTTCCTCTGCAGCGCCATGCCCTGTCCTGTGCAATTGCTGTTCCATGTGCCTGGTATGCTTTTCCCCAAGTTCTTCACATAGCAGATATCTTTTTAACCCTTAGGCCTCACCTCTTTTGCCAACTCCTCAAAGAGGCTTTCCTCCCTGTTACTCCCCATCTTACCTGTTTCCTGCACATGGCACTTTTCCTGGTGGTCATCTTGTCAACTATTCACCACCTGCTATTGCCCATCCTCCCCACTAGAATGTGAGCCTCAGGAGGGCAGGACCTCCTCTCTCTTGTTCCCTGCTGTGGCCCTGGGACAGAGCCTAGCCTCCTGGTCGGTGCTCAGTAAGCATTGGTCCAATGAATGAAGGAGTGAATTCACTCAATCATGGGGGCGGGAAATCCAATATGCCAAGGACAGCAGTGGGACCCCCACTCCCACGCCACTGTCCCTCACAGCCTTGGAAAGCAGAGCATGCCATCGAAAAGCAAAGTTGACCGGTTTGCCTTGAGGGCCTCTGACCCTGACTTAGGGGGGTCCCAGGACCCCCTGCTACTTGGTCAGCCACCCTAGCTTAGTCGGCTTAGTTTAATCTCTTGAGAGAACTCACTTTGGAAGCCTGGAAAACTCTAGCTTTGTTCGTGCTTCGAGATGAATAAATTCTTTCAGCTGATGGGCATCAGAGGCAAACAAACACGTGATTGGGTGCCCAGAAGGGAGACCCTGGTCCGGGTGCTCTGGCCTCACACCCAGGCAGGCAGACAGGGCAGCTCGCCTCTGCCTTCGCCATCGGTCTGGTGGGAAAAGCAGAAGCAGTTGGCACTGATCAATCAGTGTGGGCAAAGTGCTGCACCAACACTCTGGGGACACAAAGGGCTTTTGGAAAACGAGACTCTTCCTGTCCTCCTCCAGAATTTTTGTCACAGTTTAGAAATGGCAACGGGGGTGGGGGGAGTGGAGAATGAACGTCCCCATCACCCCCTAGAGCACCCGCAGCGGCCCTTGGCCCACAGGACATTTCCCTGGTTCAGTGGCAGGCTGCGTCGGCCCAGGGCTCTCGGCCTTTCGTCATAAGATGGTGTTTAAATTACAGAAACAAAACATTTTTGTGTTTGAAGAAATACTGGGGCCGCGTCTGGTGGCAGAGATGCAGGTTGGCTTCAGAACGGTTTCTTGCCAAGGAAAAAAATCTCATGCTCACTTGGCCACACAAGATGTGCTGCCATTCTCCCGGGCCAGTCCTGAGGTGTGTCTGCTGAGGGCGCAGGAAGCAAAGGGCTAAGTTCCCCGGAAAGGGAGTTGGCTCGTGCGATGGAGGGTTCTTCCTTGGGTTCCAGCTCCGCCCCATCGCGCCCAGTAGCTCCCACTGTGGCAGGGTGGCCGTCTGTGCTGTGCGACAGCAGGGCAGCGAGACGGGTGGGAGCGCAGACTGTGGGGTAGGACGTCCGGGTTTGGGTTCTGGCTCAGACACTCAATAGCTGCCCGGCCCTGGCCAAGTCACATAACTTTCCATTTCTGTAAAATAGAGATAATAGCGGCACCTGCATGCCAGGGACGTGGCAGGGTGTTAATACAGGTGAGGTCTGTAATGTAAGTGTTCTATTAGCCAAGTAAGTTTTTACCCTCTGTGGGGCTGGGTTAAGACTTTAGTGAGACAGTACATGCACAGCACCAAAACTGTGTTAGTATTCAGTGCATAGCGCCTAGCATTTGCCCAATAAAATATTCATTATTATTGCTACCGAAAGCTTTGCAGTCTAAGGTGTTTTGGGAAGCCTTTATAAGAATGTATTTGAATCGAAAAAGTGGTCCTGGGACATGAAGGTCACCTGCTGCCCGCTGTCCCCCTGTCAGTCAATTCCCAAGGCACAGTTATCACCCTGTGTTTTGTCAGCACGTCAGAGCCTCCAGTCAGGAATCTAGAACTAGCCAGGAAAGCAAGAGCCCCCTTAGAGAGTTCAAGTGTGGCGCGGACACAGGCTGCATGTTCCGCAGTTTTAAGCTGTAGGCTTTTCCAGTGAACAGTCAGAGAAGAGTTGACTTCATCAGGCCCCTTTTGCTCAATTCACAAAAAGGCTTTGGGAGTCCCGCCCACCCTGGAGCGTGCAGTTCCTCAGAGACTCCTCAAAAGTCCTGTTCCCTGTCCCCTGGCCCTGGGCTTTGAGTTTAAATCATCTGACGGTTGAGCACAGGGATGAGAGGGCTGCTCTGCGCTTGGCTGGAAACTGCCGTCCTGCAGCCGGGCTGCCTGCCGCTCCGCCCCTCTGCCGAGTGGGGATGGGCCCTTCCCGCTTGGGCTTCCCTGTCTCCAGAAGTTCCTCCCTAGAAGGTAGCTGTGGAGGCTGACTAAGGGTGGTGTGCAGAGTTCCAGCTGCCCCTCGGGACTTGTCGATCTCCTTCGCCTTCCTTGGTGACCCTCTGACTATCACAGAGCTGTGGATGTGGAAAACCCCAGTGGCGATCAGTGCTTTAGAGGTTTGCAAATATTCCGACACCAGGTGACCATGAGCGCATCCCATGGCTTTGGAGCAGCACAGAGAGATGGCTTATGGGAAGGGGTCCAGGTCATGGTGTGGAGGAGGGGATGCTGGCAGCCCCACACTCGTCTTGGCCTATCTGTGCACCACGGAGGCCGGGCCCAGATCGCGGATTTTCAGCTTGTTGCTCCCTGGGGCCGTCAGACTTCTCACCAACACCCGGAGATTGATGGTCTCCCATAAAGGAGGTGGGCCCCTCCCTGACCTTCCCCAGATGCCTCCCCACCTCCCACTAAGCCCTGAGGGCTTAGTGCACAGCTGGTTCAGGGTGGATCCGAGTGCAGGCGGTGCAAGCAGGGGAGAGCGTTTCCAAGGTGATGTCCGAGTTGTTTCTATTGACCCACTGATCTGACCCTCCCTGCCCCGCGCTGCTGCTCCAGAGCCAAGCGAAGGCTTTGGAGGCGCCTACACCTTGGGGCGGCTGGCTGGGGCCCTGCTGTGGTGGGAGGTTTGGACCCCACACTGGGATGGGCCCTGGGGAAGGTCAGGGGAAGGGCGAGCCGAAGCAGGCTTCGGTGCCTCTGTTACCTCCCCGCCTTGCCCTCTTCTTTTGATGGCAGGGCAGGCAGACGTGGGGTACGGAGGCCCTGTTCTGGGAGCTGTAAAGAGCGTGCTTCAAGAAAGCCCTCTGACCGTGCCCTGCTGTAGGATGAACGCACATCCTGAATTGGCTGCTACCGTCAGGTCAAGAGAAAGCCTTCTGGTGACTAATGAGAGTCCCACATCCGTCAGACTCCTGTGGCCTCCAAGTCAGTGTTTCCTCAGAGTCAAGGTCCCTTTCTCCTCCCTGCCGGTCCCACATCCTGCTGGGCCTGCGTTGGCCAGTTCATGTTTCTCATTATCTCTCCTCCATCCTCTTTGCAAGCTTCTCACCCCGCCCAAGGGTTTTATTTTTAAACTTGCAGAGTAATGCTAGGGCTGAGCAGGACACACTGCCCACATTCACGGGAAACTGGGATGCCTAGAGGAGCACCCCGCTTTTTGGGGACTTCCTCCCTCTCTTTCATACTTAGGAGGGACCTTCTCCATGAGAAGCCCAGCCCTGAGGACCCTACATTCTAACGGGGCAGGGGAGAGTGGGGGACACACAGAGCATGCACAGGCGCACGCACACACACACACACACACACCCGTAAGCCACCAAGAGATGAAGTAGAAATTGTGAGAAGATCTATTCCAGAAAAGGAACAAAGAGGTCCTGGAATAAGAGAAGCCGTCACAAATGAGGCAGAGAGGGAAGCCTCTCCAAGGTGGCGACACAGAGTGAGGCCCAGAAAAATGAGAGCCGCCATGCATGCAGAGGGCAGGGGTGAGGGCGGAGGGAAGAGCACATGAGAAGGCCCTGGGGTGGGCAAGTGCTTGGTGTGTTCGAGAAGCCAGGAGAAGGCCAGGATACATCAAACTGAGAGAACAAAGGGGAAAGTGTTCAAGATGCAGCTGGGCAGGCGTACAGA